ATGTTAACTGTGATGGACTCTTAAAACAGAATCAGTACCATTTACCAGTTCCTGCAATTCCGTGTTATTAAACATCTTAGCAGCAGCTGCTTAATGTAGAAACCAGCATTCAAACGGAGTTGGATTTTTTTTACACAATTTATTAGGGAATGTTATATAGGTGTCCTCAGAGATTTGTTAGTAAGATTTACATGGAAGCCCTTACTGTTTACTTAGTAATAGGACACAAAATAATTAGGAAGTACTATTTTTGACATTTTTTTGTTCTAAAACACCAATATGATGTATGAGATTTTACTATGCTTCACATTTTTTTCCTGAGAAATAGAATGAAGCATAACCCTCCAAAGAGCTGTACCACTCTGTTCCTGGTAACAGTGACAAATAGAATAATCAGATAAATGATCTACTTCCTATTCCCATAAATATGTGTAGCAACCCTGCTTCTTACTGTGTGACTCAGCTACCCTAAGGATTACAGATAAAATACATTAAGTATTAGAATTTTCAGGCCATGTTTTAATTTTTATTTTGATCTTTAGAGGACATCTTAAAGTATTAGGAACGTAACAGTTTTTTCCATTGGAATCCTTCTAAAGGTTCAAAGACTCTAAATGGAGGATCTGACACTCAAGACAGTAATCAACCACAACATAATGGAGATAGCAATGAAGAAAGCAAAGATGAGGCCAGCAGTAAGAAAAAGTGAGGACATGTTTTAATGGGTCGTAATGTGTGTGTTTAATTTTTAAATCACGTTGTTCCAAGGTTATTTGTATAGGAGATTATATTTTGATCATTCAGTTCCTGGATTGAGGAAACAAGATGTATATCAAAAAGGCAAAATCATAAAAAACTATTTACAGTGAATTTGCCACTGTATACAAGGGAATAAATAGCTAGGCAAGAATCCAGTTTTTAAAAAATATTCTTTCTTGGACTAATTTCACTAACTATACCTTTAATAATGACTTATTATGTTCATACTTGATTTGTGACAGGGTAATAAATTAGATCTAGAATCTCACTATTTTGTATTATGATACCCACCCTAGATAAGGAACCAGTGACTCAAGTCTTGCTTTGTTCCACTGTGTATCAGGACTAGGAGTCAAGCATCCCTTCTAATTCTGAAATTCAGGGAAACCTGTCCGTGTGTGTGTATCATCCCCTCTTTTCATTAAGGATGGTAATATGCTAGTATCATAAGCAGAACATTTTCACGTTCTTTCGAGAATTCATTTTAAAGCTGGAAAGGGCCTGAGCCATGATCCTTCCCTGAGATATTATGCTTGATCTGAATATTTTTGGGAAGATAGAACATGGTAAAATAATAGTTCTAACCAAAAATAGTAACTCTAAATCTTTGGTAATTTTTTTTAAAATCCCCTAATCCTAGTTGTCGCACCTTTTTTCCCCACTTTCTTTAGGCCATCCAGTGAAGAGAGAGAGACTGAAATATCTCTGAAGGATTCTACGCTAGATAACTAGGTTGACATACCTGGAATATAAAGAACATTTGAGAAGTTTGTAATGGTTTTCATTAGAAATATTTAGACTGCTGAAAGTTTTAAATTTTTATAAGCATAGGTTTTGATGTGTAAACCTTGTTTTAGGGAGAAAAATCCCTTTATCTTTGTTTAAAAGTAATTAAACATTGCTTAATTGTACTTGTGCAGTATTAACAGCCACATTATACAGTAAATGTGAGGGAAAATTCACTTACGAAATATTGAACTGCTTTTCAAGACATTGGTTTTAGCATATTTTCAATTTGTGTGTGTATGTTAATGTGTAATGGATAGTAGAAAAAAGTTAAATTTTTGAAACTGCTACTTGTATAAAACCTTTCCTCTTTTCCCAGATACTGTGGGTTTTGTGCATAGTTTTTACAAATCTTGGATTTACCAGACTGTCTTTTCACTGTTTGTGGTTTTTGTAGAAGTTATACATTTTTATGGTAGATAAAATGTTAGTACTATATAATTACTCCCTTCTACCTAAAATTAATCTGTCTACATTGTGCTACATTATCCTGCTGCTTTGTAACAATGTGTGGTCTGTATGCCTTTTTGTATGACAACTAGATATCCAACTGACAATTCCACAAGGTACAAAAGTCATGTTAACTTTAGAAGGTAATTTAATTTTGTGGTTCAGAATTCAGCAAAGTCACATGACCTTCCTACAGGGAGCAGAGTGGGTGTATATAGGAATGAATCTGACTGTAGGGTTCAGCCATCTAAGAGCCTTTACAGGTACTGGTAGCTGAAACTGAAAACTAAATGATAAAAGTTTATTTTTGAGACATTTCTGAATTTTTTAAAAAGTCACACTCATTAAGAAAGTCACTAAGGAGTATTTTTTTAATTGGAAAACAATCCATGATGCTTATGCAATAAATAAAAGTAGATAATATATAAGGAAACTAACCTATTTGAAAACATGGCTATAACAGAAGGGAATTACATGTGACAGGACTGCAAAAAAGTGGAAACATTAGTTGCTCTGAGGCAGTAGACAAAGTAAAGGAGTGGTTTTTTGATAGTCTATACATTCACTTATATGGACTAAATCAGGGTGAACCAATAACCCAAAAGATTTAAGGCTAACTTTTAACAAATAGTATTTCTAAGATCATTTGATGAGGTCAGTTGGTGTTTTTCAGTAGCTAAAAGACACTGTTTTGAAACTATGAAAACGGGGAGAAGAAGGCTTTTAATACTTAAGTGTTTGCATGTGGCACACATTACATGTTTTGACCGCTCGGATAATTTTGTTTTCATCAATTGATGAAAAGTTAAATTATTTCAGTAGTTGGAATTTTAATTTCAAGAGGTCTTACAATGGAACCTAGATCCCAGTGTTTTGAGGGAACTCTTGCTATTATATCTGTTTGATCCTTAGTACAATTAAAATTTGGACAGATTATTCTAGTTAAGCCATAAGTGTCAACATGTAAACTTGTTTTGATTAAAAAAATTTTTTATCAAACTGTACTAGTAAATTACTTCTTTACTATTTACAAAAATGTGTTGGAATTCTGGGTTTGTTTCCAAGGGAATAATATCTTAGTTAACTTATCATAGAGATTGTGTTTGGTGAGACAGGGAAACCAATAAGCTCAAAATGACAAAAATAAAGCAAATGTTATTTTTGGTTCACCCCTTTTTTTCTGTGACCTAACAGATTGACGTAGCTTACCAAGAATGACAGAATCTTCCATTTCCCTTGCTCTATCTAACCAGTTCTGATTTATATGGTGTTAAAACACAGGTGCCTTCTCTCTCTCAATCCTCATTTCAGAAATTTTTCTGTCAACGATTCACAAATTCTCAGAACTCTTAAGAAAAAGTCATACAAGTAATAACTTTCAGGAGCATTGGCTCAATTTAAATTCTGTACTTGGTCAAAACTCCACAATTGGACAAGTCACTTAGAAGATAATTTAAATGAGAATGCTAGACCTCCCCACCCCACATCCACTTTTTGGTATGTTTTTGGATAATGTTTTAACAGAGTAAGTTCTGCATGACTCAGCAGAATCAATTGTTGGTTTTTTCAGTTGCTTTGGAAAAATTTCAGAAGTGCCATCTAAATCAGATGTTGTGTGTGTAAACAGCTTGACTGGAATCCCTTCAGCCTTATACTATTATGTCACATGGTTTCAAATAGTAGGATACTAAAATTGATCGCAGTGTACCCACACACTTACCTGGTTGAAGATGCCAGGTCAAGATGAGGTGGCCTACACAAGAGCAAAGGCTTTTACAGGGCTTCCAAGGCTTCTTCACTAACAATTTTGTCCCACTGGTCAGAGAAAGGATGATCTATTGGAAATAGCAAATCCAGAATTACACCTTAAAAAGACCTACTACATAGGCAGAAATGTGTTCAAATTTGTGTTGCATAATTCTCCAGCCTTAGAGGCGATAAAGACATTGTGAGGTGATGGGGAGAACGGTCGAATTATCCTTAAAGAGCCCTGAAGCCTGAAAAAGATGTTTAAGGAAATGGGCATTGCTTTTCTAGACAGTGATTTTGTGTATGACTCTATCCACTATTATATATAAATCTAACTCATTTCTAAATACAGAGAATGTTGGTTAATTCAAGTTCATGACACTTTCATGTTTTCATTAGATAAAATATTTAACTTCAGCTATGTTGTGTTTAATATTGAAATTTCCACCTGCAAAATCCCTGACACAGGTATGTTTTATCCCTGTTTGAAAGGTGGGAGACCTGTGTAATACATTGGCAAACTCTGGGAGTAACCTGGTTAGGTTAGCGTTTTAGATTTTACCAGGAAATGGTAATAGATACCTAAGCCTTTGTAACGTTGGTGAAAAAACCTTAAGAACCAGCAGGATAATATTCTAAATAAATGATAAAACAAGAATTTCAGCAGTAGTATTGTTTTAACTGACAGCCTTCTTTACCCATTAAAATAAACTGATTGGCACCACACATGGATTAATGCTTCTGTTATGATAATTTCTGGAATTTTTAAGAATATAAAGTAATGTAAATGAATAGAAGTAAAAAAAAAATAAAATAAATTTAAAAAAAGACCCTTGCATACTAATGTAAAACCTGTAAGGAATGCAGTTTAAAAATAAATTCATTTTTACCTTTGGAACTCTGAGAAATTGGGTAAATCTAGTTTTCCAGCAGAATTCAAATCAGTACAATTTAGCATCATCAGAAACATGAAAGTAAAAACTTAGGCAATAGCATACGCCAACTGTGTTATTTATATTGATTCTTTGGTGTATTAACACCACTAGACATACCAGAAACAGGTGCTTGTGGTCTTCACACCAATAGACTTAACTGGACATGCTGCATTTAAGGCCATAAAACATTTTACTGTAAACCTTTTAAACACATAGGCTTAGAGGCTTCATCAGTTTTTGATGTATATGGTAAATGTTTATTCTTACCCATCCAGGAAGTATGGAATTCAGTTGAATTTATAAATATAACCTAAAAGAAAGTGAAGTTTTAAATGACAGAATTTAATTTCCCACCAGAAAAAAAGGTTTCCAGAAAACGTTTCAAAAGAGATACCTACAATTCTCCCTGATGATTTAGAGCTTGGAATTTATCACAGGTGCTCTTTGGTTCAGAATGAGACAAGAGAATAACTAGAATTACCACAGTAAGGGGACCAAGAGAATGAAGAGCTGAGCCAGAAAAACTTGTGTTTTCTTTCTACATACAGAATACTGGGTATGCTGCCCAAGAAGAGAGAGCTAGCAATCCATACGCTCTTGATTGCCCATGTCCCAGCAGTCATATTACATGAAATCCTTTAATCATAAAAATATTAAATTGACATACATTTTAAACTCAGCATTGTGATTCACAAAAAGTTGTCAGGAAATGAAGCTTCAATTCAAATGCTACTTCTGTAGAGCTCTGCGTATATACTCAAGATCTTTTTATATTCATTATTCATGTAGGGAATCTCTATTAAAATGTTTACCTAGTTTCTACCAAAACATTACAAAAGCCCACTGTGAGATTATACAATAGCTATTAATAGTGTATTTATTAAATAATCTGCTTTTATTCTCCCTCATTTTTATTAGATACTTGAAAAATCTTTACCTTGGAAGCCTCATGGTATATCATGGTATACAGTGCAGTTCATTCTTCAAAGAATTTTCAAAATAATTCCACCACTTGATGTATCATTAATTGAATTTTGCTAATGATTAGCAAAAAGCATTTAAGACACAATGAATAGGCAAGCGACAGACTGGGAGAAAATCAGAATACATGTATATGACAGGATATATAAAGCACTCCTACAGCTCAGTAAGATAAACACACTTAAAATGGGCAAGAAACACTGAATAAGAACTATACTTTGTAATAAATACTATATTTTTGAGCATTTAAATACAATCAAGTTTATAAAAATGTAATTTGTTTTTTTCACGGGGGGGAGGTAACTAGAGCTGATGTTTCAGGTTGATCATGTTCCTACAAGTGCACACTTTTTGTTGGTTATTAATTAAAGGTTCCAGGATCAACATAAGGGTAAGCGAGGAATTCCCCTAGTTTGTTGCCTTCTGAATCATAGTGAAGCATTCGGAAGCAAACATCACAAAAGAAACATGGGTCATCTGGTGCGAAACTGTCATTGTTCGTCACCCATCTGTAGTTAAAAAACACACACACAAAAGTACATAATTACAACCAACTTTCTCATGCTATAGGTATGACTTGTAATAATATGTAAGTAACATTCCCACTATTGACTTCTCATCCTATCTTATTCATAATTATAATCCTCCATAGGATTTCCTGGACATGTATACAGGCATATCACTATCAGTACTCTACAAGGCAAAAGGGCAGTCACAGAAACCGCGGAACGCTGCTTCCCTGAAAGGCTGCTTACGGTCAGAGAGGAGAAACACCCGTAACTGAAAGCACTGGGCACTTGCCCACGGCATACCTATCCGAGAAACTGCCGATATGAACATAATCCTTTCCTTCTAATAGGCCATCTTGAAAAGCAAATCAGATGCTACAGAGCTGATAAACTTTTGCTTAATTTATCTTTCTAACTGGTAAATTAGTACTGGTTAATTTGGAAATTCCAGCTGTTTTACTTAGAATTCAGGATAGAATGTTACACAGTGTATACAAATGGGAAATATGGACACCATTATTCAACTGAAACTTTGTCTTTTGACAGGAGATGTTACTAGTCTCAGATGAAAATGCTATTTTTCAGTTGATCTAAATTCTGCATCTCATGGAATGTTTTAACATTCCCTGATTTCCACTTTGATCTAGTAACTGTCTTCCTATTTATCACTTGGAAAAGCACATTGTGGAGAACCCAAAACAAGTTGATACTAAATCCTTCCCTTTTCCTCTGAATGGTTTGTTGACTGATCCATAGTTAAAGAAACAATCTACACATGCAGAATCACATAAAGCAGAAATTTTATAAAACCATATTTTGACCTCATTATACATGAGATGCTGTGTTACATTTTCACTGAAGAGAAACTGTAGATGAGACTGATTTTGTAGAGTGCAGAGAGGAGACAGAACACGGTTCCCTGATAACGCCGAGTGCCGTATCAACCAGACTAAAGTCTGACCTGTCCCTGCACTTCCGCTGTACATGATACTGCATCTCCTTACAGTTTAAAAATGTAGTAATCTACTGAACTGTTCTGCAGCACTTCTCTACTACACAAAAAACCCTTTATATTATTTATACCCCAAAGTATAAGCCTTCAGACTCAACATAGAAAAAAACTGAAATACCAAAAGTAAAAAATACTCGACTGTTGAAAGTAAACACTTTTCAAAAAAAAGATACCACTTACCTGGCTGTGTACATTTTACAAACAAAACATTTCCTGGTCCACAGCCAATGCTTCTTGATAAGAAGGGGATAAAGGGTCCTATCCAAACAGTCATCGCGATGCACAAGCCTTTTGTACAGGAGAAAATAAATGAAGCTATTAAATTACAAATGTTTGTGATGTATAATCAAACATACCTGTACCTCAATATTAACGTAAGTATATTTTTCAATTTTTTGCTCACTTGTACACCAGGTTTCACCAAATTGTGTTCCACAAAACACCTTCTCCAAAGGCATTTTGGATCAAACAATGCTTTCTATGAAACTTCCCAAATCCCTTCATGGTAACATGCACTGTGACTCTCTAAGTATTTTAGCTAGTTATTCTACCTAGAATAACTGATTGTTATAATAGGGCTTTTGATTACTGGCCCCTTTATTAAAATCCAAATCCGACTTCTGGTATAATGTGAACTGGTAGGACTTTAGTTTTAGGTGTGAGAATTAAGAAATTGTGAGTGAAAATTAATCTCCACTATTCTACTCATCAGCTGAATGGGTTTGGGTAAATCCCTTAACCATGCTGGACCCCAGATTCTTCATCTGAAAAATGAAGGGGCTGCTCAAGAAGTATTCTACTGGTTCCTGGTCTCTGACAATTCTAAAATTGATTTTTTTAAGTAAAAAAGGGTAGCACTATATCAACTTCACCATCATAAACTGACGAATAAACTTTTAACTGTTTAACTATGGAATGGCATGGAATGTTTAAATCCACCTGTAAGATGAAAATGACTTTTAGTGTAAATTATGTTCCAGTTGCCGAGTTTAAGGAATGACACCATGTGCAGCAATATGCCTACGCTGTAAGAAATGAAAGTAAGAGCAGCCAGAACAGATTACATAAAATTCAAAGTACACATATTCAAGAAATAAACATACATAATTTTGAAAGTCTCATAAATCTATGAGGTTTATGAGCTTTCCTGGCTCTTGCTTCAAAAATTCTTCCCAAGGGGCAAGTGTTATATATTAACTGTTTCTTTTTCTTTTAGCTCAACATGTCTGTACAGAACCACTGTTAACTTTGGTTAAATAGATGCTTAATGTTTAAATTATGACTAATTAATACTACCACCACCTAAGCTACGTAACAGACTACAGGTTCCTTTCACCATGTAACACTTTGTTTTCTAGCTACTAATTCTCCCATATTTGCATGTGCTGAGCTTTCAGTGTTCCTGTCACTAATTCAGTTCCCTCTTTTCTGATAGAAGAGTAAACATATTCTCCATCTGGTGCACCAACAGGAGGCCTAGCAGCTCCAGACACCCTTCCCAAGTCCTCCATCCTGCTCCAGTCTCCGCTCTGCCTGCCAGCTGTCATTCCGGGGTTTCCCTTTCCCATCACACCGAGAGCTCCTTTTCTGTCTTATTCTGCTTTGCATTCCATGTTTTCCTTTTCTAAGGTTAAGTCTGTGTGAAGAACTACCTCAGGTAGCTTCCTGAGCATCAGTGAATGGGAGGTAAAAGTTTTGGAGACTCTTAACTGAGATCCAGAGAAAAGGAAGCGGGGACTTTCTGATGCATCGGTTCCTATGACCGGTGTTAATACATGGGCATGTTGTTGCTCCACAAGAAAACTTAGTCTCTCTGAAGGAATCCAACGGGATAGAGCAGGGCTTATTCCTATACATTGTTTTTCATATATTGCGATGTCCTAAGTAAGGAAAAGAAAAGCCACCAGCTATATAAAATTTATAACTCATCTTAAAACCTCATTTTTAAACTAGTCCTTCCCACTTAAAATCTTTATGAAAGCATTAAGATTTCATATTGGTCAAATATTAGAATTCTTCTTCTCTTCCCCCAGTTCCCTTTTATCTCCTACAAATTTTGGCAAAAAGACAAGAAACGGAGAAATATACCTGCAAGTTTGCAAAGTGCCTATATGGTATACAAAGTGGATGACTACTACCTGAATAATAGCTTTCTAGTATACAAATGGAGATACTTTTAAAAGTATTTATAAAATTTTAAACCTTTAATAAACAGTAAAGGATTTCTTATATAGTTCCCCCCCAAAATAATAGAGGATGCAAAGTTGGTCCATGAATGGAAAGCACTTATTTTTGCTGTTTCCAAGCCAAGCTGCACAGATAACTCTTACTAAAAAAAAAAAACACAACTGCTTTTATACTACGAAATAAAAGGAAAGGGGAACAAATAAAATGTTCCGAGTACTGCCACTTACCTTATGTCAGTAATGACAACAACATGTTCACAGTCTCCCTGGTGACAGTATAAGTACGGAAAACCCAGTTTAATATATAAGTCATTGAAGGTGAAATCTTCCATTTTAGCAGTCTGGAACTTTCCATAGCCTCTATCATGGGACTCTGACCACTCAATGATAGTTCTGAGGTGGGGGAAGGCAAGGATATATATCATTGCTCCACAAAAAACTAAAAATGACAGACAAGACAACAGTTTGCAGCACTTCACAAAACCTGGCTGACCCAATGAACTGGACAGTCACCATCCTGAAATGATGGATGTTGGAATTAGGAATTCTGAATTTTTCTTCATAAGAGCAGCAGTTCTCAAAGTGTGGTTCCTGAGACTGCACAGGGGTTTGTGAAGTCAAAATTATCTTTACAATAATCCTAAAATGTTACTTGCTGCCTTTCCAACTCTTATTCTCTCATAAATGTATTTCCCTGGAGGCTGCATGACATGGGTTATCACTTCAGACTGAATGGAAAAGGTGTGACAATGTCACTCTTATTTTGTTCTGAAGAGGTTATTTTTCACAAAAATGTTATTAATGTTAATGTTTAACAGGATTATTTAAATCAGTCAATACTTAAAATATCTCAGTCTGCATTGCTAATGTAGTAAATATTGATAGCTATAACCCACATAAAAGCTCTTTGGAGTCCTCAATTATTTACAGTATAAAGAAGTGCTGACGCCAACAAGATTGCGAACTGTTAGAATATAAATACAAGTGGTTATAATGAAAGAATTTATATAAACAGTCAGAAAAAATATACATATATACTCTACTTGCCAAGACACTGATGATAAAAGTATGGTCTAATTCACACAATAGTTAGATATAGATTTTTCATGTTTTGTACTTAAGCAACCATACATAGCCGGTAAGGCCAACAACTATACACACTAAATAAGGAGGAAAATCATGAAAGATTTATGGCTATCATCTAATATGAGGAACAGACATTAATAAAGTGTTTAAGGTGGATTTACTATATTTTTTAGATGTATCAAAGGCTCAAACGAGATTTAGTATAATTTCTAAAATAGTAGATAGTACATTTAAAAAACAATTCTGGACAGCAGGCAAAGATCCTGGAATGGCTGACATGCCCTTTTGGTAGGAAAATTTCCTTCTTGGAATAAAAATGTTTATTAACTTACTAGTATCTAGACCAATCTTGAAAATGTTTTAAAAATTGAGAATTTCTTACCCCAAATCAAACTAAAACAACCTAAAAAAATAATTCCTTGGCAAATATCCTTAACAGACTAGAGAATTTGTGGAGACAATACCATTCTGAGAACCAGAAATGGGAACGACTTCGAGAAGATTTTTGGAAACGGTACCTGCTCAAATCTCTGCACTCAGGGTATCTTTTATCATTGTAAAATGTTCCTTCAAAATAAAAGAAGGCTGATTTGTATAGGTCCTATAAGAAAACAAATGGCATTAAGAAAAAGGAATTATAAAATTGCTCTAAGAATTAAAAATTGAAACAGATTCATAGAGACAGGGAACAAACTGACAGATGCCAGAGGCAGGGTGAAATAAGGTGATGGAATTAAGTACAAATTGGTAGTTACAAAATAGTCATAGGCATGTAAAGTACAGCATAGGGAATATAGTCAATAATACTGTAATAACTATGTATGGGGCCAGGTGGGCACTTGAATTACCAGAGGGCACACTTTGCAACCTATATGAATGTCTATCTGCTATGCTATACATCTGAAACTAATACAAAATAGTGTTGAATGCAAAATGCAATAAAAAAATAAAATAGGGCAGGGTGCAGGGTGTGCGAGGAAGAAGGGGTCAATGGGAAAGAGGACTTCCGGAATCAAAAATAAAGAGGTATGACAAATGTAATACCTGATAATGAATTTAAAAAAATAAATAAAAAAGAAAGAAAAATACAGCATGACAGGGGAAGAGAACACTACTCTGGATGCTGTAAGGGAAAGACCTCTCTGTCAAGGTGACATCTGAGACCAGGAAGAAATAAAGGAGTGAGCCATCTGAATGCCTGGGTGACGAGCATTCTAGGGTGAGGAAACAGAAGACAGAAAGGCTCTGAAGAGGAAGAGCTTACTTAGTACAGTGAGAAACAGCAAGAATGGCAGTGTGGTTTGAAGGCAACAATTGATGGAAAGAGTGTTAGGATATGAAGTGGGAAGGCAGAAAGGGTCAGATAATGGATCACTTGTAGACCACAATAAGAACTTTGTATTTTATTCTAGATGTAAGAGGAATCCTCTGCAGATCTGACACTTTAAAAAGATCATTCTGGCCCGGCCGGGCATGGCTCAGCGGTTGAGCGTCGACCTGGGATCTAGGCGATCAGGGTTCGATTCCCGGTCAGGGCACACGCCCAGGTTGCGGGCTCGATCAATGACTCTCTCATCATTGATGTTTCTATCTCTCTCTTTCCCTCGCCTTCCCTCTCTCTGAAATCAAAAAAGATATATTTTTTAAAAAAATAAAAAGATCATTCTGGCCCGGCCAGGCGTGGCTCAGCAGTTGAGGGTCGACCTGGGATCCAGGTGATCGGGGTTCGATTCCCGATCAGGGCACATACCTGAGTTGCGGGCTCGATCCCCAGTCAGGGGCGTGCAGGAGGAAGCCGATCAATGACTGACTCATCATTGATGTTTCTATCTCTCTCTCCCTCTCCTTTCCTCTCTCTGAAATCAATAAAGATATATTTAAAAAAAAAAAAAAATCACACTAGCTGGCATAGAGGACAAACAGAAGTGTGGAGGGGTGCAGTGAGACTCAGGAGGGCACTGGAGCAGTGCAGGCAGGAGATGATGGTGCCCACGGAGGCTCAGCCCTAAGGACTTCCTGATGCCTGCAGTGTGGGAAGGAGGCCAGCATGACTCACTCCAAGGTTTTTAGCAGCAAGTAACCAGGTGCAGAATGGGCAGATTCACTGAGATGGGAACACTGAGGAAGGTACAGATTTGAGGAGGAAGAGACAGCTAGAGTTTGCTTTTGAACAAATTAAGTTTGAGATGACAGACATCTGATAGAAACTGTCAAGGAGGCTGCTGGATATGTAAATTCAGAGATGTTGGGATTCGATACGCTCACCTGGGAATCCTGGTATTTAGAGCTATGAATCTGGACGAGTGCCTCGGGAGTACACACAGAGGAGAGGTGGGCACACACAAAGAAGTGTGAGAACTGCTTCACAGGGCTTACCAGCATTTATAAGTCAGAACGGTGAGACGCACCCAGCAAAAGAATTAAGTCAGTCAGGGAGGAAGAAAATCAATGGGTGTAATGTCCTAAAAGCCAAGTAAAGAAAGTGTTTCAAGGATAAAGGAATGTTCAACTGTGTCACATGCTGATGAGAAGTCAAGTGAGAGGAGAACTGAGTCCCTGGCGGTGGCATCAATGAAGTGATTGCGGTGGAACGGTGGGGAACACCACAGCCAGGGGAAGACACACTGTCAAGAAGAGGGGTTGGGGTGGGAGATATATTACAGCACATCCTTACAACAGTGGGAGAGCTGACAGAATGCAAAAAAAAAACCCTGATGATGCAGGGATGAGGGGATAATTAAAGAACCAAGTCCTCGATTATGCAATCAGGGGTGGAATCCAGGGGACATAGACTGGCCTTAGATAGAAGCTGGCTTAATCCATCCACTGCCAAAAGGTAGGAAGGCAGGGTGCATAGGCAGATGGGTAAATGTGGGCCAGATGATGGAAAATTCTTTTCTATTTATTTACTTACTTTAGAGAGAGGGCAGGCAGGGGAAGAAGGGATGGATGGGGGCAGGGGGAGAAACATCAATTTGTTGTTCCACTTATTTACGCATTTACTGGTTGCTTCTTATAAGTGCCTTGACTGGGGATCGAACCTGCAACCTTGATGTTTCAGGGATGACATTCTAACCAATTGAGCTACCCTGCCAGGGCTGGAAAATTCTTTTTTGATAACTTTATTTTCTCAGTGAAATAAACAGCAAGGTTTTCAGCTGAAGGTAAGCCATGAGGGGAAAATGTTCAGTTTTAGAAAGAAGACACCAGCTGCTTTGAAAAGGAGCAGAGTTAATCGATTACAGAAATGCAGTAAAAATGCCAGGCAGCACTGTGGCTAAGCAGAAATGTCCAGCAGGAACTAAAAACAATGGTTTGACAATCAGGAGAGAATGTGGCTATAGACGGAGATTAACAAAGATTGGAGCACACTAAAACCATGAAAACGGGGAAAGATCAGGAGAAGAATTAGAATATGAAAAACTAAGATAAAATCTAAGTTATAACATTTAGGTGGCTGGTGGCATAGAAACCAGCAAAAACAGAGATTGTGATGGCTCTTGTCCATACTCTATCTCCATTCTAGTTGATCCAGATATCTTTTTACTATTCTGCAGGAGGTGCTGCCTCTCTTAAGTGGGCCAGTAAATCTGAGGTCCTCTGCTAGTTGTACCAGGCAACAGAGTTAGTTCAAGCTTGCCCACCATGAAATTCATGAGCATCAAGGCCCTACTCCCTACTGAGCAAGGGATCCCTTCTGAAAACTTCTCGGGTAGCCAGGCTACCATTCTGCTCCTTTCCATAATTATCCAGTGAGTATGCAGCGTTTCTGTCCTGAGAGCATCGCCCTGGGTACCACCAGCAATGACAAGCATCACATGCTATGTCTTTGTTTGGTATTGGTCCTTGAACTGACGGGTCCTTCTACGGGCAGTGAGGTTCTTGTGTAGACTCGAACCCTTTGCTGGGGCAGTTATGACAAACTTATAGAGAGAGAGTGAACAGCAAATTCAAATGCTACAGTGAAATAAGTTGTATCAACAAGGAAAAGAGATCAATTGGTTAAACAGGTAGTTACTGTGACCTCTGAAGGAAGAGCATACAAAGAATGGATGAAAATGAACAGGACAAGTAAAAACAAGTACAGCCTACTCTTTGAAAAGGTCCTGACAATAAAGGGCAGGGAAGACACAGGCTTTGAGGGTACGGCTTAGAACAAAAAGGCATTTACTGGAATATTTACGATCTTGCAAGAGTAAACATTATTTCTTTAGCTTATTACTATTATTTCCTATTGCTTTATGGGGGGGAAAAAAATCACCTTACTTTGCTGATGTGCTCGGGAGCTTGGTCAGGAGTATTGCTGAATTCCCCACCAATCTGGAGGTCACTGACACAGCAAATTGAATCCCTTAGCTCCGTGAGCTTTTGACTGCCCAGTACCAGCATCGTCTGGTATGGTTTGTGTTCTTTGTGCTAAAAGTCAAAAAGTACATAAATAAGTGTCCACTCAGAGATAAGCAACTAAACTATAAATCCTGTCATAATCAGATCTGAATTAAGTTACTGGTTTTCTTGATTTAAGTTTTCCCCTAACTTGGCGTTGTTTTCTTAAATTCTCTAATTGTCTATTTGGCATTCATTATTTACAGGTCCAAACTAATGGCCAAAGCTGTTTACATCTCCCCTGTGATACAAAGCCTATACTCTGAAACCACCTCCTTTATCTCTCCTATCCAACATCTCGCCCACATCTTGCCTGTCCTAAATCAACTTCCAGGTACAGACAACTAGGGACAACCATGTGCCTCAGAGCCTACTAGAATTATTCAAACCAGCCAACTCTAAACTGTTTACTCTGCCCTGCCTCGCCTTTCTCACAGAAACCCTAACAAAGGCTGTGGCCTATGCTTTCCTCTCCCTCTTTTCTGCAGCCTCATTCACACTGGTGCTTCCCCCTGTGGCCCTACACAGCATGGCATACCCCCGCCTCTCAGGAAGTGTAAGTAATAAAGTCTTCTGTCAATGGCATTAGCCTCTAGTGATGTCACTTGTTCACCTTCATAAATTAAAATCCATGAGTATAACTGAGACACTTGGTGTAATGGTCTGAATGTCTATGTCTGCCCCAAATTTGCATGTTGGAATCCTAACACCCAAAGTCATGGTGTTAGGAAGCGGGGCCTCTGGGCGGTAACTCGGTTATGAGGGTGTTTTCATGAATGGGATTAGTGTTCTTACTCAAGGTGCACGCTCCACGCTCCGAGGGAGCATGCCCATGCCTCCCTCTCCCCCTCCTTGTCCGCAGGCGCGTTACCTCTGCCTCTCTCTCTCCTAAGCTCCAAGGGAGCTTCTACTACCTTTGTAACTTTCTAAATAGACTTTCTCTTATTAAAAAAGAAAGAAAAGAGCCCGGCCGGGCGTGGCTCAGCGGTTGAGCGTTGACCTAGGATCCAGGCGATCAGGGTTCGATTCCTGGTCAGGGCACATGCCCGGGTTGCGGGCTGCAGCTGATCAATGACTCTCTCATCATTGATGTTTCTATCTCTCTCTCCCTCTCCCTTCCTCTCTCTGAAATCAATAAAGATAATATTTTTTAAAAATTTAAAAATTAAAAAAATTTTAAAAAATTAAAAAGAAAGAAAAGAGAGCCCTCCCTGGCTGGTGTGGCTCAGTTGGTTGGGCATCATTCTGTATACCAATAGGATACTGGTCCGATTACAAATCAGTGCACATGCCCGGGTTGTGGGCTCAATCACTGGTTGAGGGAGTACAGGAGGCAGCCAAAAGATGTTTTGCTCTCACACATTGATGTTTCTCTCTCCCCCTCTCCCTTCCTCTCTCTAAAAATCAGTAAAATTCTTTTAAATAAATAAATAAATAAATAAATGAGATCCCATAGAGCTCCCTAGCCCCTTCTGCCATGTGAGAAGCCTTCAGCCCAGAAGAGCCCCAACCTGACCATGGCAGCACTCTGATCTTGGATTTCCAGCCTCCAGAACTGTCAAAAATAAATTTCTGTTGTTTATAAGCCACCCAGTCGGTGACATTTTGTTATAGAAGTGAGTATGGACTAAAATACTTGATAAGAGAACTTTTTAGTTTAAACTAAAGTTTACAATCAAGATGTGACTAAATGACATTAGCATGAAAAGCCTGTGGACTATAATTTCATCTAGCATCACTGTCTTTTAAAATTTCCTGGAAGGCCCGGCCGGGCGTGGCTCAGTGGTTAAGCATTGACCTAGGATCCAGGCGATAGGGGTTCGATTCCTGGTCGAGGGAATCACATGCCCGGGTTTCGGGCTGCAGCTGATCAATGACTCTCTCATCATTGATGTTTCTATCTCTCTCTCTCCCTCTCCTTCCCTCTCTCTGAAATCAATAAAGATATATTAAAAATAAATAAATAAATAAATAAAATTTCCTGGAAGTTACCACCTGAAGTCAAGCCATCTATTCACTACTCTAATGTTATAAGCCCAGAGGCTATTTTATTGGTTTTGTTTTATTTGACTGGTAATTTGAAATCTTCATCAAACAAAATAATAAGTACTAACTATATTCCAGATGCTTCATCAAAGCTTATTTATTCACAAGTTTATGTATAGTAACATTTCAATTAAGCCTTTTCAAAGTTTATGACATCTATTTGAGGAATCAAGAATACATGAGGTCTGGTATGGGACAGTTCTTTTTATTAGAGGCTCCTAAGGAATTCCTAGATACCCCTGACCTGTTACCTTTCTGCATTTTCATTAAAGTAGACCTGTCTTTAGTTAAACATCTTCCCAAGTATTCAAAACTGGTGAACAAACGTCACTTCACTCCTTCTGAGGGGGGAAAAAACAACCCTTAAGACATCATATCATTAGAATCATTGTGGCTTTCTATATACTTGCAGTTGCTTCCAGTGCAGGAACTACAGTATGCATTCCAACACTAAAACTGTCATCCTATTAATCAAGAGATTATTTGAAACTTGATCTTATTTACAATATTCTGTATTTTTAAATTTTTTTTTAAATATATCTTTATTGATTTCTGAGAGAGGAAAGGAGAGGGGGAGAGAGAGAGAGAGAAAAACATCAATGATGAGAGAGTCATTGATCAGCCACCTCCTGCACATGCCCCACTGGGGATGGAGCCCACAACCAGGGCATGTGCCCTCACTGGGAATTGAACCCCGATCGCTTGGATCCTAGGTCGACGCTCAACTGCTGAGCCATGCCTGGCCGGGCTACAATATTCCTTATTAAAACAAAGAACCCAAGAACATAAGCAGGGTGCCAGATAAAATAGCATTTGCTTGCATTTACTCTGAACCCTCAGGAATATAACTCTTCAAATAACTAAACCATGTGACAAAAGTCACTCATCTGTGGAATGCAAAAGGATTTACTACTGACCTTATGAAATATAACAGGGTACAGGATATTCACAGACAGGATAAGCTCCCCTTCCTCAATCATGTCCGCTGGATTTCCAGGCTTTTTTCCTATGGCATGTGACTCCTGAAGGAGGAAAACAAATGAATAAGAGACATGAAAACCTGACACTGACTCAGAGAAGGGGCGGTGTGCAACAATGCCTATGAGCAAGAACTCAGTCAAACAGCCCTGACTCCTAATTCTGACTCCTAATTCTACTTCAAGAAAATATTAAAACCTCTTTAAGCTTTAGTTTCATCTTCTGTAAAAAAAACAGAAAATATTTATTTTACAGAACTGTTGCTGGGAATGTGTACATAAAGCACCTAGTAAGATGTCTGACACTAAATGCTTAGCCAATTGATAATAAAACAGGAATAATAGGAATATAAATTAACATTGATATCATATTGGCATTTACAGTTACCAATCTTTTACATACCTGCTCTCATATTATTATGAGAGCCATTTGACAGATGAAGTTCAAAGGTTTGGATTTACCCAAGGTAAACCAGCAAGACAGGATGCAAATACACACCTGTTTGGCTTTAGAACTCATTTTTTTACAACACTGTCACATCTTTAATACACCACACTCTTTTATATCTGCTTAATAACTATAAAATGGGGGCCACCAGTGTGGACTGGTTAAGTAAAAGACATTTTAAAAATAAGTGGGCCTGGCCGGGCATGGCTCAGCGGGTGAGCGTTGACCTGGGACCCAGGCGATCGGGGTTTGATTCCCGGTCAGGGCACATGCACAGGTTGTGGGCTCGATCAATGACTCTCTCATCATTGATGTTTCTGTCTCTCTCTCTCCCTCTCCTTTCCTCTCTCTGAAATCAATAAAGATATATTTAAAAAAAAAAAAAGTTAGAATAAAAATAAGTGGGAGTGATGTCACACACAAGATGGTGAAGTAGGAAGCTCAGAGAATCAGTCCCTCCACCAAATCAACCAATAAGATGGGAAGGGAGATTGGAATAAACTATTTTTGAACTTTGGACCTGATCAGAATTCACATCAACCAGGGGGCTGCTTAATGAAGGGACGCACTGCTGATTTTTCATGGATGAGCAGAGGGTACAAACCACCCACCACTCCTCCATTCTTCAGTCCTGCTGCAGACGTGGGAACAGCAGCCCACCGTCCCAGAAATGATGGCCGATGCCAGGACAGGCAGGGGGGACCCTGTTCTCCGAAAATTGGGGGTTGTGTCTTTTGGTTGGTCTAGTGATGCCCTGAAGGCCTGGTGCCGACACCTGCCTTGGTTTTGGCCCTCTTGCCAGCTGTGGCTTCCCCCAACAGCAGCTACTGGAAACGTTAAAGGGACAGGGCCTGTTCTCATTTGTGGAGGAAGACATTAAAAGAAATCTTATGACCCTGGCTGACTACAGAGATGATGAAAGAGAAACATCAGTGATAATACACAACACAGAAAACACACATTGGAAAAATAGTTTGGAAAAGTCACAAATAGACAGCTACAGCCCTCAACAAGTAATAAATATACTCAAAATGTTCAGTTATCAACAACAAAACTTATAAAACACACACAAAAAACATGACAATATAGCCCATTTACGAGAAAAAAAGAATTTGACAGAAACCACCCTTAAGGGAGCCCAGATGTTGAAATTACTAGTCAGTGATCTTAAATCAACTTTGTTTTTTAAATCCTTACCTGAGGATATATTTTTTTCCATTGCTTTTCAGAGAGAGTGGAAGGGAGAGAAAAAGCAAAAGAGAGAGAAACATCGATGTGAGAGCGACACATCGAATGGTTGCCTCCCTCACACACCCCGACCAGAGCCGGAGATCGAACCTGCAACTGAGGTATGTGCACTTGGCCAGAAATGAAACCAGGACCCTTCAGTCCACAGGCTGACACTCTAACCACTGAGCCAAACTGACTAGGACTTAAATCAACTCTCTTAAATGTACTCAGTGACCTAAAGAAAACTACATACAGAGAGCTAAAGGAAATGAGGTTCCTTAATAAGATTAACAGTCAATTTCTCACCAGAAACCATGTAGATAAGAAGGCAGTGGGACTACATATTAAAAGCCACGAAGAAAACCCTGTCAGCCAAGAATTCTATACCTGGAAAAACTATCCTTCAGTAATGAGGGAGAAATTAAGACATTTTTCAGATAAAACTATACAGGCAAATATGAAAGCCAGTATTACTGTACTTTTGATTTATAACTTTTTTTCCAAAAGTGAATGCACAAAACAATATTTATAAATTTATGTTAACAGACATACAATATGTAAAGATGTAATCTGTGACAATAATAATATAAAGGGAGAGGAATGGAGATGTAGAGAAGCAGTGTATTGATGCTTCTGGATATTACTAAAACAAAGTTGGTATTATCAAAACTAGGTTGTTATAATAAGCAAATTCATAGAGAAAGAAATTAGAACAGAGGTTACCAGGGGCTAGGGAACAGGGGCTAGGGGAAGGGAAAATGGGGAGTTACTGTTTAACAGATATAGAATTTCTGTTTGGGATGATGAAAGGTTCTGGTGATGGTTACAAAGCACTATGAATATATATGCCACTTAAATGAACATTTAAAAGTAGTTAAAACAGTAAACTTTGTCATATAAATTTTAACAATAAAAAAATAAGTGGGAGAGACAATAAATGCCCCTATACACCACTTAGTGCCCAACACCATATGTGGCACATAGTAGGTTTTCAAGAATATGTAATGAATAAACCCATGATCTCTATTAACACTTGATTTCTTATTACCCACCATCCTAAATTTTTCTGAGGGTTTTATATAAGAGATGATGGATTAGGGGAAAAAGTGGGTAAACCAAGATCAGGAACAGAATAAAAATACCAGGAATAGGGTGGTGAATAGGCATGAATTTAGCCTAACACAGAGAGCAAGACCAAACAAAAAGAAAAAATACAGACATTTGAGAGTAAAATGTCATCACTTGAATTCTGAGGGTCTTTTTCTTCTATTTCCCAGTCCCAATAAAGTTTCACTAGTTTGCTTTCAACTGAGTATATCCAGTATAAAGCCACCATACCGTCATCACACACACTCACCCAGTGACAGCTTATCGTTTCATGGGAAAAAGTGAAAAAGATGAGACTCTTACCATCTCGTAAGCAAATGTTTCTTGTCTGCACACCCGATCTATCGTTATTGTTTCTTCCCGATGTTCCAAAAGCCTCTTTCTAACCCTGTTATAGATACAAGAACAATCCAACTTCAGCAGTCTTCATTGAGGCTTCAAACACATCTTTTTTTTTTTTAAACTAATTTTAGATTCAAGAAAAGCTGTAAAAATAGTACAAAAAATTCCCTTATATCTTTCACTGGGCTTCCCCTATGTTAACATCTTACAGGATCACAGAATAATTATCAACACCAGGAAATTAACATTAATACGGTATTGTTAACTACAGACCTTTCTGGAACTTCACAAATATTTAAATTCAATGCCTTTTTCTGCCCCAGTGTCCCTGAACAGGACACCACACTGCATTTCTTGCTTCTGCTTTTTCCTCTGGTCTTTTACAATTCTGCAGTCCTCCTTTGTCTTTTACCATCTTGACGCTTCTGAGGAGCTTTAATCAGTTCTTTTGTAGAGTGTCCTACAATTCAGATTTGAGTACTGTTCCCTCATGACTGGAGGAAGCCTATATACATTTCTAGCAAGAATACCACAAGAATGACGATGTCCTTCACTGTATGACCACGAGGTTCATGATGTTAACAACAGTAGTACAGGGTGGGGCAAAAGTAGGTTTACAGTTCTTCATATGGAAAGTAATACAATAATTAATAAATAATAACAGAAGAATATAATTACTCCGTTTTACGTACTCACAACTGTAAACTTACTTTTGTCCCACCCTGTATGTCTAATTACTGGAGATGTTTACCTTGTCTGCCAGGTTGCTACACTTGAAAGATACTTTTCCTTTGTACTTGATAAGTATTTGGGGGAGATACTTTATGCATCTTGTTTCTCCTCAAACTTTCACGTAGAAATTTTAGCATTCACAGTAGATTTTGCCTGCAACATTTTTTACTGTAGTTTATGTCTAATGGTGATTCTCTATTTCCCGCATTCTACATTTATTCATTGATGTTATGAAGACCTATCTCTCTCCTCCCATTTATTTATTTGATCATTTATATTACTATAAACTAACAGATATTTATTTTATTCTATAGGTTAAAATCTAACACTATCATTATTTTGTTGCTCAAACTGTTCTAGCTTTGACCATTAGGAGCTTCTTCAAGTTGACTCCTGTTCTTTCAACAAGCCATCTTTTTTTTTTTCTTTTTTGTAGTATGTCCCTACTTTCTGGTACCATAAGAGGCTCAAGGCTCATTCTCTATTTCCTTGTCTCAGCGCTGGAATCAACTGCTTCTCCTAGGAGCCCTAATTCCTTTATTAGAGAGAGATGTTTAGAGAGCAGTATCTGGGCGCTAGGCACTCATTGTTACTGAAGTCACTGCTTCTAGGCTTCCCAGCAGAGAGGTGGGAAATATATATGTATACTAACCCATGCACGTAAAATTTATTTGTATTTCTGTATTTTTCTGTTACATATTCAAAACCATGAGTTAATACTGACACTTTCAATCCCAAACTAAAATCACACTTAAGCCTTCATCCTTTCCTTGTTTATGGCTTTTCTCCACAAGTGAGAAACGCAACTCCCATAATTTAATCCATTAACTTAATTCTAGAAAATACATACTTTCAAAATTGCTAACCTACACCCCTGTGAGAAACACTAACTCATGAACAGTTCTTTTTGGCTTTAGCCTTACAAAATTCAATCAAGATGCGTACAGAGCTCAGGTTAGTTCTTTTTCCCCCATTCTCCTCAGTGTAATTATGTAACTCATTTGTGACACAGGCTCACTTGTTGGTTTTATATTCTATTTTCGGTTGTCCAACCCACATCCTGGTTGGTTTTGTCTGATTACTTTTGGGGTATGTGAAAGGCATGTGAAACATCACTGTGGTTCTAAGAGTCAGAGTTATAAAAAATATAGTAAGAGAAGCGTCATTCCCTCTCTGTCCCTACTAACCTGTTCCCATTCCCTCCTTACTTTCTACTCCTGTAGGCAACCAATCTCTATAGTTTGGTTTATCTTTTCCATTTCTTTCTTTCTTTTTTAACTGATCTGAGAGAGAGGAAGGGAAAGGGAGAGGGGGAGGAGGGAGGGAGGAAGAGAGAAAGAGGGAGGGGGAGGGAGAGGGGGATGGAGAGAAAGAAACATCAATGTGAATGAAACATCCATCGGCTGCTTCCCGCATGTGCCCTGATCAGGGATTAAACCTGCGACCTTACAGCACAGGGGACGACACTCCAACTGAGCCACACCGGCCAGGGGTATCCTTTCCATTTCTTCTGTTCAAATAAGCTGATACCTACATATTTTCTTATATTCCTTTCTGCATCAGTCTGAGTTCAATTAGGAGAAAAAAAACTAAACAGTAATTTGAACAAAGTTTAATCTAAAGAATTGTTAACTTTAATGGAGGATTGGAGTAATGGGGGTCTGGCAAGTAAGAAGTAAAGGACTCTAGAGAACATAGAAACAGCAGATATACGGAGTACCCTCTCCCTTAGTCTTTCTGAGAAAGAGTGCTCAAGAAGTCTCCCCTTTCTCCTCCAAGACTGAGATCCAGACCTTGTTGGAAAGGGCACAGCTGTACTCACTGAATGGCAGAAAAGTTGCTAAGGTGCACCATCACTGGGCTCTGCTGGAAATCTACCTTCAAGAGTGCCAGAGAAGGCTGTTGAGGGGAGGTGTTAAGGGGAATGGCAGGGAAAGCTGCTGGTGGTGGGTGCTATGACTGGTAGGCACTTCAAGAGCTGGGCGCTGGGGAAGCTGTGTGCACTGCTGGATCCTGCTGAGCAAGCACAACTCTTCCTGCAAAGTCTCTCCTGTGCCCTTTAATGACAAAGCTTAACACTGTGCCAGTTGGCAAAGAAAAAACTTTAAAGGGCCAAGACCCATTTTTAGAGAGCAGACAAAAAGGTAAATTTGTAGATGAGAGCCATTAAATTGACACCTGGCAAATACTCTTTTGTACGTGGAAGGGTAGCATATGCTTTTGGCCTCTGCTTTTTTCATCTAACAGTATTTCCTAGAAATCACTCCACAGGATCACCCATTCTCATCCTTTAGTGTAGCTGCCCAGTAATCCCCCACTGTGTGGATGTCCCACAGTCTGTTCAACACTCTCCTATGTATGTATATTTACAACATTTCAAGTAATAATTTTGCTATTATAAACGACACTGGAATTAATAACCTCATATGTAATGTATTTTCATAATGTCGGAGGTGTATCTTCAGTAGAGATTGCTACAAGTGACACTATTGGGTCAAAAGGTATGTGCCCGTGTAATTTTGTTAGACATTACCAAATTTTACACATTTCTTGTTAAATTTATTCCTAAGTATTTAACCTTCCTTTTGACTACTGTAAATGGGATTTTCCCTACCATTATGTCCTAATTGCTGTTTGTATATATGAAGGCTGTTTGTTTTCATGTATCCATTTTGTATCCTGCTATTACACTAAATTATTTTTTTAAATTTAATTTTTAAAAAAAATTTATTGATTTTAGAGGGATGGGGGAAGGGGAGAAAGAGAAACAAACAAAAACATTGATTTGTTGTTCCAATTATTTATGCATTCACAGGTTGCTTCTTATATGTGCCCTAACTGGAGACGGAACCCTCAACCTTGGCGTATTAAGAGGGCGGTCTAACCAACTAAGCTACCCGGCCAGGGCAACACTAAACTGGTTTTTCATGTTTCACATCTGTTTTAGCATTGATTCCTTCAGGATTTTCCAGATATACTATTTTATCATTTGCAAAGAGAGCTAATTTTTTTCATCTATTCTTATGCCTCTAATTGAGTTCTCTTGCCAAACTGCAGAGTTAATACCTATAGCAAAATGTTGCAAAGTAGTGGAGATAACAGGCATGCCTGCCCTGTTCCAGATCTGAGTAGAAATGCCTGTCCACTTCTCTACTAAACAAGACACTAACTTTACAACTAAAGGATATATATTTTACCATGTCAGAGCAGTAACCCTATAATTTCCATTTCCTTGAGTTTTTATCTTGAATGGGTAACTGAATTTTGTTAAAGGCTTTTTTAGCATCTCTGGGAATAATCAAATGACTTTTACCTTTAGATTCATTGATACAGTATGGTATTAGTAGATGTCCTAAGACTGAACTAACCTTGCATTCCTGTAATAAATCCCACTTGGTCCTGGTGTACTGTTTTCTTAATATGGTGCTGGATTCTTTGCTAATATTTTCTGAGTGTTGAATGATACTGGTCTCAAGTTTTCTTTCTCTGTAATATCTTTATCTAGTTTAAGTATCAGTGTTACGTTTGCTTCATAAAAAGAATTAAGACTTTTTTCCTCCGTTTCAAGGTCCTGGAGCATTGGGACTATCTGGTCTTTGAATGTTTGGTTGAATTCTCCTGTGAAACTATCTGGACCTGGAATTTTTGTGGAATATTTCCTTAAATAATGTTCTCTGTTTTTCTATGAAAATTGGTCTACTTATGTTTCTAACTCTAATATGGTTAATTTCAATAATCTGTATTTCCCTAAGAAATGATCTATTTCATCTAGGTTTTTGAATTTATTTCCGTAGAGCAGGGACCAGTAAACCTTTCCTTAAAAGGTCAAAAAGTAAATATTTTAGGTTGTGAGCCATCTGGTCTGTTTCACAGCTACCCAACTTGCCACTGTAGCACAAAAGCAGCCAAAAAACAGGTGGGCAGTCAGTGGGTTGCCAACCTCTGCAAAGAAGTCTCTTATAATTTAAAAAATTTGTTTCAATATGTTTGTGCTTTCTTCCATTTTTTTCTTAATCAAGTTATCTAATGGTTTATCTATTGTTAATTATTTTTAAAAGCAAAGATTTCGATTAGACTCATCCTTTTTCATTTTTCTCATTAATTCCTGCGTTTACCACTATTCCTTCCTTCCTTATAGTTTCTTTTGGTTTACTTTGCTGTTCTTTTTTTAGTTTTCTGAGCTAGAAATTTAATTCATTTATTTTATTCTTTCCCCGTGATATGTGGTGTTTTCAATGTCATTATTTCTTAAAAATTCTGTCATTTCAATGTGTTCTTCCCTTTCTGACCACATTATTTAATAAGTCTTAAAGTTTCCGGATGGAACGGCCTGATTTTTTTGTTTTTGTTAGTAAATTCTAATTTTATTACATCTGCAATCAGAGAGTGTTATTTGCAGTATTTCGTCTTTTTTCTTCTTTTGTCAAATATATCTTTACTGATATTTTTCTCCTTTACATGCATAAAATTATTCCAGTAGCTCCTTTGTTAGACAAGGAAAAAAAGTAAGTGCCAGAAATTTATTTATTTTATACCATATTAAATGGGTCGTGTACTTAGGGTTTTTTTTATGTTTACGTTTTTAAGTTATTAGTGGGGAGAAGGAAGGTTTAGAGAAAAAGAAAGCGTAGAGATATAAATTTTGGCTTTTGGCTCAAGTGTAATTTATTTGCAGCTCTGTTAAAATTAATATTAGTTATATTTTAAATATAATAGTTTCAAAGTACTACATCAAAATAATCTCAGCTGAGGAATGCTGTACTCACTCCTTTTACATTAGATTATATATATAATTCTACCCACATTTCCTATGGAAAATAACCAAGAAGATCCAGTTAATCTAGTAAGAAAAAACAGCCAGGGAAGCAATTCGTAAAGTGGTCTGAAAATTACTATTTAACATGGCTTAATAAAATCATTATAAGCCAATCAGTATGTTATTAACTATAACAAAGAATAGTATGCTTTGTTTATCATTATCATCAGCCAATCTCTAAAATCCACTTTCCCAGGTTTATGAAAATTTCATTTATTCCACTCATTCCACAAATATCTACTGAATCTCCAATTATGCACCAAAGTTCTAGGAATTGGGGATATAGCAGCGTGTGTGGCAGATATAACTTAAGGAACTTTTAAGTCTAACTAGAAACACAGAAAATTAAACATGTATATTGTAAATGTGATGAGAATCTTGATTAGAGAAGTATGAGGGTCACATAAGCATAAAAGGGGTTATGAATGAAGTCCTTACCCCCTCAACTAAGACCTGAAGGATAAGTAGAAGCCAGCAAGACCAGGGGGACAAGGAATAGTAAGTGCTGTAGGCAAAGGCCTGGAGTGAGAGCACATTCCAGGAACTGAGAAAGAGCTGCAGTGTGGCTGGAACACTGCCAAGGTGGCTGAAGAGATCAGCAAGATCCATTCTATAGAGGCCCTTGTAAGCCACTTAAGAACTCAGGACTTCTGCCTAAGAGCCACTGAAAGGTTTCTGGGGAAAGTGACACAATCAGATGTGCAGTTTAGAAAAATCCAACACATCAATCAACAATAAAGAGCACCAATTGGAGCAAAGCAGTATAACAGGCTTAATGGCAAAACACAGATGAAAGAGTCTGACATCAGAAATGTTAGAAGAGTTCTAGACATTCCTGAAGGGAGAGAGATGGGTTTTAGTAATGTGGAAAGAAATCTTAGAGCCTCAAAGATGGAGTAATTTTCAGATGCGAGAGGGGCCATGAGCATCCTGAGCCATTTGAAAGAGAAAGTGGTTGAAAATGAATCTAGAAAAGCAAATTTGAGCTATATGTGGAAGACTTCAAATGTCAAAATAAGGGGTCTGAAATAAATCCAAAGAGGATAGAGCCACTGACAATGCCTTAGCAAATGAGCATGTTCAGATGATAGCATGATGAATACATCAGGAGAAAACATGGGACCCAGAAAGACAGGAGCCCTGCATAGTGCTCCAAATGTTGCTAATGTAAATATTAGCAGTAGGGAAGGGAAACTGATTTGGCAGCTATGACAATAAAAAAAAAAAACAAGGCAGAGTTAAAAATGTACGCCTGAGTTTTTGGACTTTTATTATGTTTGTCTTTTAATACCACTTTTCTAGTAATTCATTTTTAACCTATTTTTAAAAAGTATTAATCTGTCAAAAATTAAAAACAAAACAAAATTGGTCCTTTACCGGATAGTTTGAGAGGCACTACCAGAGTATTTAGCTTGCACCTGAAATCTAAGTAGATTACTGTACCTTTGTAAACACACATTTAAAAATAAACACAAATCTGAATATGGACTAAGTATTAGAAGATATGTATTTACTGTTAATTTTCTTAGTTGTTATAAGATTATGTAGGAGAATGATACTTTTAGGAGCTCTATGTACGCTGTCTGCAACTTACTGAAAGGGTTCAGAAATGGAAAAAGACACACAGCAGGTATCTCAAAAACATACATTTGAAGCAAATATGACCAAATGTTAACGATGGTTGAAGCTAGGGGGTGGGATGACAACAATCAACTTTCGAATAACATGATGTTGAAAAATATTTAAATTAATAGCACATAATAAAGGCAAGGTCCTCCATACCCCAAAGTCACTAGGTCGGTGTCCTCTGGGATGACTTCTGGGTCCTCATCTTCCTCCCGGCACTTCAGTTTATCAAGGCTAAAACAAAACAAAGGAAAAGCAATCATGCATCTCGTCCCTGGTGAGTCGGGGTGGTGTCCTAAATACATCACCAAATAATTAAGAAGTGAGATAAAAATCCAGCAGGCGGCTCAGAGGAGGCCAGAATTCTAGGCAATGATATCTGTGTAAATATTCCATAAATAAAAGCACACACTGCCGACTGAAGGCGGCCAATACTGTGTTAAATGGAGGAAGGAAAATATTTTTTTTAAGTTATTTTTGTATTTTCACCCCAAATAAGGCACTTGGGGAGAAAATGTCAGTGATAGCATAACCCGGGTGGCCCCCAAAGAGACCCCAGCTGGTCAAGGTTTTAACACTCTGGCCAAGTCTTCCAGCCTTAGGGTACCAAGGTTCTCCCCTGTCAGAGCATCTGTCAACGGCAGGTACACCGTCGCTGTTCCTCCGATTGCTTTTCTGCATTCACAAGCACTTGAACGAGCAGCGAATAGAAAAATTAATCTTTTACGCAGCTCCCTCGTCCCTCCACTCCAGCTCGCACAAAGTACGCCCTCGGGTCCCGGGGGCTGGCCGGGTGTTGCGGGGAAGCTCCAGCAGGCTGAACGCTTTGCAAGGGCGGCCCTTCGGCCCCCGGGAGGGAACCCAGTTCCTCCCAAGGGAGGGTCCCGGGGAGCGCGGGAGCGAGGCTGCCCCCGGACCGGCCCCGCACTCACCCGCAAACGGCTCTCAGCTCGGTCGCCGCCTCCAGGCTGCAGCCCAGATCGCGGGCCACGGCGGCATCCTCCCAGCCCGAAGCGGCGACCCCTCCTTGCCCAGGCGGCGCGGACGCCGCCGACTCCTTCAGCGACAAATCCCCTTGCCCGCGCAGCCGGCCACGCCACAGCTCCCCGAAGGCGCCCACGTGGAAAGCACGCGTGTTTAGCTCCGGAAGCTCGTACTCTGGAAAGTTGCAGCCGCCCCTGCCGGAGGCCGGGTCCTGCCCGCCGCCGAGCCCGCTGCACGTTGGGGAACCCAGCTCGCTTTCAGCCATGTTCGCCCCGCTCCCTTCCCAGCGAAAGCCGGAGGCCCAAGGCCTCGCAGAGCGCGATGGGACTTGTAGTTGCACGTGGCCCCGGCCTGCGAGCAGCGGGGCCGCGCAGCCCGGGCTTCAGACACTACATTTCCCCGCAGGCCCCGGGGCAGCGGCGCCGCGAGCCCCCGCGTGCGGGGCAGAGCGCATTGTTCTCCGCCGGGGCGGGAGCTATTGTGGCTCTCCGTCCCCCGCAGCCTGTCAGCTTTGGTTCCCGGCCCTCACAGGGACGTAGCATCACTCCCTGCTGGGTGGGGCGGCCTCCACAAGCCCTTGGGTAAGGCTCTTTAAAAAAATTTTTTTTTAGTTATTGATTTCAGGGAGAAGAAGGGAGAGGGAGAGAGAGACAGAAACATCAATGATGAGAGTCATTGGTCGGCTGCCTCCTGCACGCCCCCTGCTGGGGATCGAGCCCGCAACCCCCGCACGTGCCCTGACCGGGATGGAACAGGGATCTCCTGCATCTTGGGTCCATGCGCAACTGCTGCGCCCCGGCAGGCTGGGCAGGGCCTGGCTCTTTACCTTTTTCTTCCACCCCCGTGCGAGACTTTTCCTTCTCTCCAGAGTGGGGCTGCGGGCGCTGCTGCCTCACTGCTCGGGAGCCTGAGAGACGTGGGGCTGGGGGCAGAGGTCGGCCCTCCAGATCAGGTTCCTCCAGAACCTCTGCAAAGGCCCCGTGGTCGCGTGTGTATATGGGCATGCAGTGTTGCACACACAAACCATAGAGTTTATTGAGCGTCTGTGTATCGTGCACTACGCATCACAATGTTCCCGGGACCCCTATGCTGCTCTTGATCACGGAGATACCTCCTAGGATATAGAGGCAGGACTGGAACTTAATCTGTCTTGCTTCACAATGAGTTTATGCCACCTCTCAGAGACCTCAAAGGAAGGAGCAGGTCACACAGAGCAAGCCCCAGAGACCTCAAAGGAAGGAGCAAGACACACAGAGCAAGCCCCGATTGTTTAGTTTTTGGGGTATAATTACATATTATGTACGTCACTCATTTAAACTGTTCGTTCCATGGTTTTTAGTATATTTACAGAATTGTGCAACAATCACAATCGATTTGGGAATAGGTGCACCACTCCCAAAAGAAACCCTGTACCTTTTAGCTATCACTGTCAATCCTCCCAACTCCTCCTGCCCTAGCCAACCACTAATCTTTCTGTCTCTTTAGATTTATGTATTCTGGGTATTATATATAAATGGAATCCTATGTGTGGATTTTGTGACTAACTTCTTTCACTTAGCATAATATTTTCAGTGTTTATCCATATTGCGGCATGTATTAGTACTTCATTTTTTTATGCCTGAATAAAATTGTGTGATATAGGTACTGTATTTTGTCTTTCCATTCATCAAAAGGTTGTTTCCACCTTTTAGCTATTATGAATAATACTGCTGTGAATGTTTGTGTACAATTTTTGTGCAGAGCTATATTTTCACTTCTCTTTGATATGTCTATATCTGTATCTGTATCTATATATCTAGGAGTGAAATTTCTGGGTTACATGGTAACTCTATGTTAAATAATTTGAATAACAACTACCAGGCTGTTTTCTACAGTAGCTGTGCCTCCTTTTACAGTCCTACCAACATTATATAAGGATTCTGATTTCTCCACATCCTTGCCAACACTTGTCTGACATTTTCATTATAGCCATCCTAGTGGTTTTGAAATGGTATCTTGTGGGTTTGACTTGCATTTCCATGATGATTAATGACTTGAGCATCTTTTGCTTATTGATCATTTGTATATCTTCTTTGGAGAAATGTCTATTCAAGTCCATCGCCCATTTCAAAATAAGGTTATGTATATTTTTATAAGAGCCCTGGTAGCTAGACATTTGTTGTTCTTTTCTGCCTAACATTCTGATTCTTAGAACTTGCCTTCCTTACTCCTTTAGACCCTCCTGGGGCTGCCCTAGAACCCTTCCTACTCTGGCCACAGTAATTGGCTCAAGGATGAGCAAGTGACTGGACTAGAGCCAATCAGAATCCTCCTCTTGGATTTTATTTATAACTAGAAACTCTCCCTCCCTTCTGAGGACCTAAGGAAGTGCCCTAGAAGCAGCCAGTGTTGACCAGTGGAAGAGTTAGAAGGAAGAAAGCCAAGAATTTAAATAAGCAAATGCAGAAGATGGGTAAAGAGAGAATTCATGTCGCTTGGAATGACTGTGGCTGAGGTCATCTTCCTCTCTAGACTTGACATTTTGTACGCCAGTATAATGTTAAGCTAGTTTGAGTTGGAATCTCAACCTTAAGACTAATGGTCTTCCTCTGGGCCTGTAAGACTTGGTCCAAATCTCTCCACAGAGGGAGCTCTCACTCCAGAGAATGAAGCCACACTTCAGATGGCAAGAACTCAACATATATCTGGAGATTTAATAATATTGGTTTCAGGAGTGGTGACCAGATGGTTCCTGAACAGCAGAGGGTAGGGGCAGGACCAGAATGAGCTCCGCAGGGGAAGGTGTGGCGCTGGGTAACAGCAGGTTGAGGCATTAGTAGGTAAGAAGGATTTGTAGTGAGTGCCAGCAGCAATCACACGCAGCACTCAGTAGGGTCTTATCATCAACAGCTAATCCTTGGAATAAGCCTGTAGGGGTCCAGAATAGCCACTGCGGCGTACAAGTTATTTTGAGCTGAAGGCATTTGAGAATAGGTTCCCCGTCCACGCCCCAAACTTCCTTACCTACCTAAATGGTGAACCTCCCAAAAGAACTGGTCTTGATGGTAAAGTCCCTCTCTGAAACCAGGGAAGATTGAGTAGAAGTGGGCACCACACTCAGACTTTGTTGCAAAACTCACATTTATTCTCTTAAGGGCCCGTTTATCTTTCCCAGAAGTAATTTGTTTTCTCCTAAGGGTCCTTTCTTGCCTCTTCCCTATTAAGAAGTCATTTGTTTTCCTGTAACTGCCCTTTTCCCCTCCCCACCTCCTATTAAGATGGTAAATAAGCTCAAATTCTAAGGGCCTTCTGGAGTCACATTTTTCTGTGAACTCTTCCATATATCATACATATATGAGTAAAAATCTGTCTTTTCTGTTGTTAAACTATCTTTTGTTAGTTTAATTCATAGGCCCCCAGTGACTGAACCTAAGAGGGTGGAGGGAAAGTTTTTCCTCCCCATCAAGACCATGGCAAAGGCAGCTTCTGGCTCTGTGGCAAATTTGGCAGATCAAAGTATTGCTAGACCTGGCAGTAGAACCAAACAACAGCAGAAAGGAGGTAGAAAGATTCCAAAGTCCCAGCGTAGGTATAGTCCCTGTGATTCTAGGTGAACTTTGTACGATTCTTGAGGAAGAAAAAAATCCTAATGTTTCCCAATTGTGTGAGACAGGTTAGTAAACCAGGACAAGTGGAATAGGAAAGCTGAGACAGTTAAATGACAAAGCAGTTTACAGCCGTCTAGGAAATCACAAAATCCTATCTTCCCTAACCAAGTACACTTAAGAGTAAATGGTTTACACTTCTCTCCAACCAGAGGTAAACAGTTTAAATCACCCCCCGCTCAGGGAGATAGGTAACAGAAATCCACCAGGTCGCTCAGAGGAGGCCAGAATTCAAGGCAATGGTATCTGTGTGGGTTTTTTACTTTGTGAAGGAATGATTTTGGGAGTACATTCATTAAAGCTGGGGACAGTGAAACAAAGAAGGGCTTAGGATAGCAGAAGCAAGCTTTAGTAAACGTACTTTCAAAATCACCTGGACTCACACTGTGAAATCTTTCCTGCACAAAGTCAAAAGTGCACACACTCCAGGCCAGCCCAACACAGACCCACTTGGGCCAGGTCCCTTTCTGGTGACACGGGGATTAAGGTGGTGGCATAAATTTACAGTAGGGATTCTGAGTAGTGACCCAAACCAAGATTATGAATTGTTATCTGGCTATTGGTTTCCCAGCTCTCTTTAAGCTCTGAGGGACAGGCATTTCCGCCAGGTTCGAAGAAAGGCCCTACAGAAGCCAACAGAAAAACAGCTGCTGCCACAGCCAACTCTGGCCCTTCTAGCCAGAAGGGAGTTGGGCAAATGCCTAATCCTCACTCTCGCCTTACGCACTGCGAGGCTTTAGGAAAATAAGTACTAGCCAGCTCTTCTCAGCAAAATGGTTGGGGACTCCTCTTTGAAGATTCAAGGAGACATTTTTTTTGCTTAGCATTGTTCCTGGATTCTCTGTTTCCACTGATTGCTTGTTCAGGTGGAGAGTTGCTTTCCAGAAGCCAGGCGACTGACTACATGGGCTTTCTCTCTGCCAAAGAAAGGAGTAGAGAGGGGCAGAGAGGGAATAGTGTGGACAGGAAAGACAGCTGGGGTGCTCTAAGTCACAACGGCGGTTGGCAGAGTAATAAGCATTTAGTGAGGAGTGAGATTTATAACCATTCCAAGGGCTTACATTAATTAAAAAGAATTTTAACAACTGTAGTGGAAGACTTGAATCTAGTGTCCGCTTCCATCCTAAGCAATGATCCTTTTCAAGGCTGAGTAACTGTTAATAGGTCTGTATTTGCATAATGACTTTCTTTTAATTCTCTAAATTGCCCCCAACCATTTGCTTTAGGAAACCTCTACTGCCCCTTTTCTCCCATCACCGTCATCTCAGTTCCACTGATATGTAAAAATTAGGTAATTAGTTTTTTCCAAGGACTATGCCAAATTTATTGTAAGGCGTTTTAAATCTTGGGTTAGCAAAGAGAGTGAGAACGTTTACTGGCAGGAAATACAGAATCAGGGGGGGAAATATCAGAAAATGTTTTGGCCCTTTTTTGTTACAGGGACTGTGAACTCAGAGAAAGGTGGTCAGTTGTGGTATCACTTGTCGGGTTTTGTTTTTTTTCTGGGCCTGGTGCTGAAATACAACTGAGGCCTAGATGTTATCTCTAGGGAAGAAAGGTCACCCTACAATTGTCCTTCGCTAGGCACCCAGGGTTTTCTGCCCCGGTGACCTTCTGTGCCTGGCCCATCGTCCTTGCTCTGTTCATGTCTGTCTAACTGCCTACAACTGGTCAGAACTTCATTATCCTGAGGGCTTAATGCTTAAGGG